ATTAATTCTATGGTCTAATAACATATTTAGGCTATTAATTTATAGTCTAAAAAACTGACGCTTTAGTCAATTGGTTACTACACTGGAATAAAATTAGTTATTAACGAGCAGACAAATTTATTCACTGAACCTAAAATTCCAGGATTATACCAATTTTTCTCCCTTATTTTGCAATGGAACTTATTGCACTCACAATATATATGTCCTTTTTACATATAAGTTTGATATCTTTCCCTTGGCTTATATCAACGGCATTTGGTACAAAACAATGCTTAATATCAAAAGAAGGAGAGAAATCCATGTGTACCTAAACACCAGTAGCAATGAGCATTGAGCAGAAAAACGGAAGCAAAGGCCAAAGGGCAGTAGTTGTAGCAACCGACAGTTGGCAGAAATGAGCGGAAGGAGAGCAAATGACCAACAAATGGTTGAAGTTGGCCGCAAGCAAACGACAGCTATGTCATTCAAGTTGCATAAATTAATAAACCCAAAATTGAAATATAAAAGATAACATTCAACATAGTACCGGATTGAACTTTGATAAACTAATTAGCAGGGAGGAGCAATCAGTTTAATCAATTAGTTCAGTCGATTTTTTCATGTAAATTGACTTAACTGACATTACTAATAGATAACTGACCAGATCAAAATCATTTATCTAAAGCAATCAAATCGAAGCGATATAACTTGGGCGTGTTATTTCAGTTACCGAAGTTTTTTTTTTTAAATGGATTTTCTTGCTACTGATGGAATTTATTACAGTATGCATGATAAAAAAACCCGACAATTCATCAAAACTAAGCATTTATACAAATAGAGAGATCCCAAATTCATCAAACCCATTTCTTCATATCTAGCATGTTTGAACTTCTACCAATACAAAGGTGTTGAGGATAGTGCTGGTTCTAGACTTCTAGTGACTAGGATAGGGGTATTCTCCAATCTCTTTTAGGATTTTTCTCTCTACAACAAGCATGGTTCAAGATGTTATTTATCAGAGCAACTTGTTGCGTGAATGGAATAACATTCGAAGGGGAAAAGAATGATGCTAATCAAAAGTTAATGAAGTATTTGAAAACGAGAAAGTATACAAAAATATCATTTGTTGAGGTACAAAATGAGTTTAAATATCACCCAATCAGCTGAGAATGAGAGAGATGCAAAACAGTGAAGGTAAGTTGTCCAAAATGTGAGAATAGAGGGAGCTTTACTAATTCACCATTGTTCCAAATGTAGGGAAGCATAGAAGCATGCAATTAAGAATTGATAGGAAACTTCTGAAGTTTATAACAGAGGAAAGGCTTTTGTTTGGAGGGTATTTCGAGTGCAAAATGTATAGGGATGATCGAAGATGAAGGTAAATTCCCTTATTCATGTAGAAGATATGTAAACTTCAAAGTTATATTCTTTATATGGTCTATTAAGGTACGAGAAATATTCAATTATATAATTATATCACGCAAATAGCAATGCCGAGAACAGAGACCAATCACAAGATTTGTTGGACATGTACCGGCGTCAATGTCTCAACTAAGAGAAAATGATCAGTCTTTAGTTAAAGTTCATTTTTTCCTTTCAAGAAGAATTCAAGAGACTAAAGAGAACATTACCTTAGAAACGGGATTGTTGAGAACCAGCGACAAGCAAAGGGATTGTCAAAACATGAACTAAACCAAATCCCTAAAAAGAAAAGGGGAAAAATAGTCAAACAGAGTAGCCAAAGAAATATATCAAACAATGGAAAATTCAGCTCAAAATTTCAGAACGGAAGAAGAGAGAAAAACCAATGACTGAGACGATTAAAAACAAAGTCCAAAAGGAAAGCATAGTTCATATTACCTCGAGAAAGAGTGGGAAGATTAACTGTTGCTGATGAGCGAATGTAAACGATAAAGAGAGAGAGGGAGAAAAAGGGTATTAGCGATCATCTGAATGATTAAGCATAATTTTAGACTCTGAACCGGTCAGTAACTCTAAATCATTCAGACCCATAATTTTATGCGAACCAAACGCGCTGAATCGGACCGATTCAGCGTTCAGATCTGAACGATTCAATTAAGAACCAAACAAACACAACCTAAGTTCATAACCCAGAGAAAGTGGGTAGTCCTAAATGAGAAGGACAAAATGAACTTACTGACATACAAGTTGAGTTTATCAAACTCTTAATAAATTCAAATCCAATAATTTGATGGTCCTAGTGAGAAACACTTATTGAATTTACCAATTTATGAGGTTGAATGTTTATTCTTAATGACTTCTTATCCCAAAGTTTGGATGATTCATTAATAATAAACTTGAAGAAAGTCACCATACCCTTTATGAGGTTGAGTTATTATAAAAGCTCTTAATTATTTTATAGCCATGTTAAAAGTGGTTTATTTCGAGATAAACATGATGAAATAACCTATGTAAGTGAGAAGGGTTAGCCGCTTTCTATGAAAAATGTTGGGTTGTTTTACTAGCACACTTACTAGAATCATGATGTAAGATAGTCAAATATATACTTTTGTATATATATCTTACACATCGAGGACTCAGGTGGATGAAGTGATTAGTTGTGTGTTATGAGTTTACCCTTATCTTAGAAAGTTCAAGACTAGTTTCACTTAACTAAGAGAATGATTACTCATCATCTCTATGTACTAGTTCAAGATACATTCACTAGTTCTTAAACAACTAATCTCGATATTGCTATTCTGGAATGATAGTTTTCGAGTTTCAGAAGAATTATTTCGCATTAGTGGGGGAATGTTGGTAATGCTCAATCTCAGATAGAGTTGGAAACACTATTATGAATAGGTATTTAAGGCTTGCATTCTCCACTCCCTTGTTGAGTGATAGAGAACAAGAAGAACTCTCGTGCACTGCCGCCACCGCCATCCATCTGTCTCGTCTTGGCTCGGTCCGTGAGAATACTATATTTTTAGAGAAAATTCATGTGGAATTTTTCTCTGAAGGAACAAATGAAAATGTGAAAGATTTCATATGATATTTATAAGATGTTGAGGACTGATTAATTAACTGAGAGACAAGATGTTAATATAAGGAGTTACATGATTTAATTTCAGGAGATTCATCAGGACGTTTCATTAGTTATAATAGGATTTAATTCCATAATTAAAATAAGATAATAATATGATTTTTTGTTGGACAATTATACTCTTATTTCTAGCTTATAAATAGAGAGTTGGATTCAACTTTTCAACTCACTTCATAACTCACTATTTACTCCCTTAGTGTTTTTAAAGTTGTTCTCTCTATACTTTCCAATCAAAAGTGTTATACCGCCAACAGTCCACTCCAATTTCGGGTGTACGAAATTTGGAGTGATCGTGTTAATCTCGGAGAACGATCCGCCTATTAGAGCGATTACACACATCGACGCGAATTCGTTTCTAAGGCAGTGATTTTTTTTATCACAACACGGTTTTCAATTACGAATTTTGAATTATTATTTATTTTTTTCAAACAGTGCTAACGATGTGATTTTACAGTCCATATTTCCATCACAAACCACACCAAAACTAGACACTAGATGCAAATCCAACATCCTTGACCATTATGAATCATCGATATTAGAAGATAAATAAACACAAACGAAAAAAATATATAAAAATGAAAAGAATAAGGATGTTTTGAAATCTTTATCTATGAAAGGTAAATATTGTCTCCGACATAAATGACTCTCAAGAAGAATTTAACTGACGTTGACGAGAGAAAATTTAATAGAACAATCCAAAAAATCTACCTAAAATGGTCAAAATAAGATGGTGAATAAAAAAAAGAACTCTAAAAAAATGAAAAGGTAAACAAGTGAATAAATGAAAATGGACAGGGTCGAGCAATGTTCATTGATACTCAACTTATTAAGATAAGAGGTCTTGATATTGCAAAATAACATAAAACTAAAAGATATAAAATAGAAAGAAAATTTAAATTTTTGGTTACAAAGGGAGTTACTGAAAAGAGCAGAGCTTGGGACATTTTGAAGCCTCTAGAGAAAAAAATTCTTTTCGTATCAGCGTTCGAAAAGAGAAGAATTTTTGAAGACGGTAAATTAAAAACAAAAAACTCCTTATCAGATTGTATTTTACTTTTGAGGGGTTGTTTGGTTCGGGGGCTGTTTGGTTCGGGGAATGTGGAATTTCCATAGGAACAGAATCCACATTCTCCCGTTTGGTTGGCCGGGAATCTCATTCCCGATAATGTTTTATTACCAATAGTAGATTGTTTTGGGTATATTACTGAGAATGTTATTACCCATTTCCCTTATGTATTGTTGGATTACCGACGTATTGGACTAAAATGCCCTTAATTTTTTTTTCAAAAATATATTTCTTCGGTCATTGAATAATAAAAATTCTACGAATGTTAAATTATAAATTTATCCTTAAATTATTTTAGATTTATAAAAAAATCTATAATTAAAATTTTATATGAAATTCAGGGGTTAAAATAAAATTTTACCCTTTCATTCAACTTTTTTATATTTTTAATTTTGTAAAAAAATTATATAAATTTTATGAATTTAATTTTTTTTAAAGAAAATATATAAAATTTTTTTCAATTTGTTAAAAAAATAAATATATAATAAAGATAATTTAATTAAATATACATTCTAATAATCTTTTATTACTTTAACCAAACACGATAATTTTACATTCCTGCTAAACCAACTAAACACAAAATACAACATTCATAGTAATCTTATTCCATGTAATCTTTTATTCCCACTGATAATCTTAAATTCTGTAAACCAAACGAATTTTCTTTTAACCACATGTTTTCAAACTTCGTATGTATGCACAAATATCGAATTTCACTCATTTAGGATATGTATTAAACGATTCATAACAGAGAAAAATATTTAATCTTAAACAAAAAATATAAATTTAATTTTCATGATATTATTATTTTATCAAAATAATAATATTATAAATTAAACATCATTTTTTAAAGAAAAAACTCCAACGGATGTGTGGAAATAATTCTAGTTTCCTTGAAAATTTCCCGACCGACTCTCTTTACATCCCCGCCAAAGAAGCCTCTCACCGCCGCTCTGTCCCAATTTCGTCTTTCTTTTTACCTTACTCCTCCTCTCATCCCTAACCATAGCCTTCTATCGCATTGAGGTTTCCGGCAGACCAAACCAAAGAACAGAAAGTTAAACGAGGTAATTTTCAAAACCCTAAACATGTAGTTTTCCACTTGATTCATGGGATTTTGAGTTGTGACTCGGTTGTATTATCCGGTTTATGTCTCCGCATCACTCTGATATATTTGATTTTTTAGTTACACTGTCATCTGCGGCCGTGATCCGCCGCTATTGACGTGGAATTTGTTCATATCGCTATAGATGTCTTTAGCGGTGGCGGATGATGAAATAGCGGCCGCGAAACTGTTCCTTATTTTGCTAATAAATGTTCTGCTGGCTGCTTCTAAATATCGGCTCTTGACATTTAAACTTGCAAATTTGCCTTTTTCCGTCAACATCATTATATGACAAATGTCTCTTTGCTGTGTCCACATCAGGGTCGGTCAATGATAAAATGAGCCGACCAGCAACCCGAAGTAAAAATAAAAGACAGAGACAGGTGGAGAATGATGATACAACTACTGAAATATTAAGGTACTAGCTGTTATCTATTCAAGAGTAAGCATTATTTTACTTATTTTCCCCCCACAGGGGCGTGTGAGGAGTTGCTAAGCTTTAAATTGGTGTTCTTTTTGAATTGTTGTTCACCTTGTGCAGGAAAATTCATCTGACTGGTGAAATAACTGATGATGATGTAAATCAACTGTACATGATCACAAAACCGGTTTGTCAGGGCTGTCGTGTGAATACTAAGGACAACCCTAATTGTTTTTGTGGGTTGACTCCACCTCCAAATGGAAGTAGGAAAACTGGCTTATGGCAGAAAATGTCAGATATTATCCAAACTCTTGGTCCAGATCCATGTAAAGATCTCCGTGCTTCTGCTCATTCACCTGCAGGTCTTACAAATCTGGGTGCAACATGCTATGCTAACAGCATTCTACAGTGCCTGTACATGAACAAATCATTTCGACAAGGTGTTTTCTCTGTTGAGCCTGATGTTTTGATTCAACACCCTGTCGTAGATCAACTTGCACGACTTTTTGCGCAACTGCATGCTAGTAGAATGGCTTTCATCGACTCTGCCCCATTTATAAAAACACTTGAGTTAGATAATGGAGTTCAACAAGATAGTCATGAATTTCTGACCTTACTTTTTTCTTTGCTTGAGCGATGTCTAAGTGATTCTAAAGTTCTAAAGGCAAGGACAATTGTTCAAGATCTCTTTCGAGGAAGTGTATCACATGTTACAACGTAAGATTGGTTTCATCATTGCTAGTTTGCAAATTACAATTTTCTATATCCCTCTGGCATTGTTGTTACTTTTCTTCCTTTCACTTGGTTTGATATGTTTTGGAGGCTTGTATGATCCTCATATATGAGAGGTTAAGAAAACCCACTCTTCAATATGGGGAAAGACTTTAGTTTGCACTATATGTATGACGTTTTTAAGAGATATTGTATGCCATTTAATACTTTTACTCGCATACATTTGTGCATTAGGTAGACTCTGCCTCCATGTGAGTTTTAGATCAAACTGATTTTATGCTGTTTGAGAATCCCTGTTCTAAAATATAATTAAGGTTTATTTAAGTTTCTATAAATGCTCTTGTTGTTACTTTATTTCAAAAAATTATTTCAATGTGAACTTGCTTTAATCTAAGTCTTTGTCATGCTTGGGTTAGCAGTTTATATGAGGTCCATGAATCAGCAATCTTTATCAATCATGTACTATTTACAACCTCCCTTTATTATAGCAGTTACCTTCTAAACATTTCATTAATGTAGTTGCATTCACTTTCCATAGTGAGGTTATTTGTTTATGTCTTGGTTGTTTCGGTGTTAATAATTTGTATTGAGGTATGCATTTTACCTTAATCAGTCATTTATTTTCTTACACCTTTGAATGAATATATATATGGTCTTCCTGCCTATGGCATTTGATACTGTAAGCTTGTGATTAATCTTATGGATGTATCTAAATCTGAGGTAGACAAATTTGTTTCATGTATTGGTATTGTCCTGCTTTGATAGGTGCTCAAAATGTGGCAAAGATTCTGAAGCTTCTTTAAATATGGAAGATTTTTATGAGCTTGAGTTGAATGTCAAGGGCCTGAAAACACTAGACGAGAGTTTAACCGATTACCTGAGCATCGAAGAGCTGCATGGCGATAACCAATATTTTTGTGAGTCATGTAACACAAGAGTTGATGCTTCTCGCAGTATCAAGCTGCGTACACTGCCTGATGTGCTTAATTTCCAACTTAAGCGCTATGATTTCCTTCAAAAGGTAATTGATGGTGTATTTGGTATCAGTTTGCTCTTTACTTTAACATTTTATAATTATAGATTAGTAGATCCTCTTCTTTTTATTGTAACCTTTGAATGCACAGACAATTCCATTTTGTGTTGTCTGTAGTAGAAGCTCCTGTCAATAACATGCTTCATCAAACAGTCATAACACTTATAATATTTTCTGTGCTTCAATGTGTCAGTAGACTACATCAAAGAAGAAGATCACTTCTGTGTTCTCTTTTCCTGGAAAGCTAGATATGCGGGAGAGGTTGTCAAAGCCTTCTCGAGTGGAGTTAATATACGACTTGTCAGCAGTTCTTATTCACAAAGGAACTGCCACAAACAGCGGCCACTACATAGCTCATATTAAGGATGAGAATACAGGGAAGTGGTGGGAGTTTGATGATGAAAATGTCTCAAACTTGGGTCATCATCCATTTGGAGAAGGCTCTTCAACTTCCAATACTAAATCTGATCGAACCGGTCCAGTTCATTCGTCTTGCATAGGAGTGGATGGCACTGCCAATGGAAATCATTTGGATCCCGTTAAGCCGCAACATGAAGAATTTAGTGGTGGGAGCCATGTAGAGATGTTTTCATCTACCGATGCCTACATGCTAATGTACAATCTTAGTTGTGCTAAGAAGAATGGTGGCAGCACCATGGAAAGAGAAGGTGATGCAGTTGTCTTACATGATGGAATTTCGCTTCCATCTCATCTTTGTGAGGAGATAGCAAACTTGAATTCATTATATGTTGATGCTTGTGAACAATTCAAATTGAAAAAGAAAAGAGAACTAGAACACTTAACAGCAAGTAGAGAGGAAGTGAGATCAGTGCTATATGAAGCTCCTGTTCATTCTGTTGAAGAACCATTCTATTGGATTTCCACAGATTGGCTTCATCAATGGGCTGATAATATTTCTCCACCGTAAGTATAGTGCTGCGTTTTATTTGAATCTGGCCTTATAATTTGCTCATGCATGGGTGGATTTAAATAATTGTCCTCTAAGGTGTGGACAAATGTGTACTAGTGATCTTACTTAAGTTTGTAATTTTATTTCTGAATTTAGTTTTCTTTGCTGATATTTTGTAATTTTATAATTTGCTGGTTGTTGATGTCGTGCAGTGTTATAAATAATGCATCTATCCAATGTTCTCATGGAAAATTACCAATCTCCAAAGCTGGCTCTGTGAAGCGGTTGTCAACTGAAGCCTGGACGAAATTGTTCTCTAAGGTAGCTTCATTGTAATCATCTTAACTTTTTTGCTTAAGCCGTCAACTGTTATTTACTTTTAATTGTTGATTACACATTGATACCTGCCTTTTTTTTCTTTGTTGTTTGGTTAAATTTCTGATAAAATGGAGTCTAGTTTATTCATAGAAGTTCTTATTTCAATACCTTCATTTTTAGTTAGATTGCCAATTAACTTATATTATGTATTTTGATATTCATAACGATCCTGTAATTGATGCTTTCCGTGATATACAATTTACTGGAAGAGCAGAAAATTGATGCAAGCTTTGCATGCTTTTCTAGTGCCCTCCATTGCTATATAGCGATTATAATAATAACTATCTCCTGTTATTGCTGCAAATGTAACTTATAATTTTATCTTTTGTCAAATTGTAAAATTAATAATTGTTATGCAATCATTTTTGTACATACGTAGATACTATTGGTTTCCCATTTTGATCTCTTGATTGCCTCTAAGGTGTGATGTCAATCACATATGATTCATTTTGATGGTGCTTGTGCAAAGCAGTACAATGGGGGACCAACATTTTCCAAAGACGACTACTGCATGGACTGCCTTATTGATGTGGCACATACAGTTGTTTGTGCTGACGGCTATAGGGATCGAAGAAAATTGATGAAAGAGATTGCAGACGATGTACTTTCAGCCAAGTGCGAAGATGGAGCCTACTATGTTTCTAAGGCATGGTATGACTACAGCCATTTCCATTTTATTTCCACTTTAAATAATCTTTGCCGCTCTGATTACCTAGCCTGGCTGCATTAGATTATCATGGGTTAGTGTCCTGTTCTTCTTATCCTTCATCTGATGGTTGTAGGAAAAAGAAAAACTCTACCTTTTAGCTTTTTGGTTTCACTTTTATAGTGATGCTGAACATTTTGTACTTGTAGGTTGCAACAGTGGGTGAAAAGAAAAAATCTTGATGCGCCTAGTGAAGCTGATGCTGGACCAACGATGTCTATTAGGTGTTCTCATGGGCACCTGATGCCAGAGCAAGCTGCTGGTGCCAAACGCTTGTTGGTTCCTGAGAAGTTATGGCTCTTCTTTTATGAGGATGCAGTTACAGTCAAACCTGATGATCGATCAGGTTGTCCAACATTTCCTTCCGACGCTGAAGATTGTCCTGAGTGCAGCAATGCACTTTCAGAAGTTGCATGCTTGGAGGATTTTAGAAGGTTATCTGAACTGAGTTCTCATTTGTAATTCGTTGCTATTTGCTAATATGCTCATGGTTGATTGACTTCGTTGTTCATGCTGCAGAGAAATGAAGCTTAAACAGCGTCAAAACCATGAAAAATTAGCCATGGGCAAGAGCATTCCGCTGTCTTCAAACTGCAAGTACTATTTGCTGCCTTCTTCTTGGCTCTCAAAATGGAGGAGCTACATCTCTACAAGCAGCAAACATAATTCATCAATGGAATCTGAAATTCTTGATGGCATCATTAATTTGCTTAAATGTGAAAAGGTCACTCGCAACTTTTCTATTAACTCTTTAGATATAGTCTAGCGCCATCAGCGATTAATTTTTTTCCTGCCTAGGAGTAGGGTCGGTTTTTATTTACCATTGTAGTTCGAGCCTCCTCTCATCTCATGCTTAATTTTTAGCCAACCCCGAATATATTGGGATTAAACAGTGTTGGTTTGGTTTGGTGGGGGAAGTAACCAACCTTTCTTGATGTGCATTCTGCTGCTTTCTGTTTATTTGATAATGATACTTTTCTGCAGTAGTTAGTTAAAGAATATTTCTGAAATATTGAACTAATGAATGGGCCAACAACCACTTCATAACTAAAATTGACTTTTAGCCCTTATGGTGAGGAATTTGCTGTCAGAAGTTAAAATTTTGGTCTGTAGATTATGGCTTGTATTGCTTTCAGCTTGTGGTCTTTTCATTTGTTTTATTTTATTAATCCTTCTTATTCGTTTGTTTCACCAGCATTTACGCCTTCTGGAGAGGTCACCTAAAGTGGCTTACAAACGTGGTTCCTTTTTCCAGAAGGATTCTTCTGTAAGCATATATATATATTTGGAACACAATCATTTGGTTGATTCTGAAGATAATGATACCTGCTAGTGCTATTTACTATTTCATTATTATAATTGATTTTAATTTTATACATATACTTACATATATATATTGCAGTATCCAATTTACTTCATCTAAAATATTAGTTCAAAATTTCAAGTTTCTCATCTTTGGATTTTAGACAGATAGGTTGACCATTATAACTGAGCATGACTGGGAATGCTTTTGTGAAGAATGGGGTGGTACTAAGGAGAATGGTATATCTGCTATGATTGAGCACAGTAATGATTTGGCTGGATGCTGTGGGGACATGCCAACTTGTGAGCAGCAGCTTAATCTTTCAAATGAAGTCAATAATGAGATTGAGTCGAAACAACCAGTAATTAGGACCTGCCCGGAGGTAATACTGAAATTTTCTTCCTGTTCTGTGATTCATGTAGCTTATTTTGTTTTAGAACTTATGAACATTGTTTTTTTTTTCTTTTCTGGGAGTTAAATTGATTATATTTAGCGAATAATATAGTTGACACGGAAATAGTTACTTTTCTTGTGTTGGTGGCTATAAGTGTTTGTTGCTGGTGTTGTTAACTTTCTGTACTGAAATGTGATGTGAACATCCTGAGCTATGCAGGATCGATTTTCTTTCTTCATGGAAGAAAGATGCAAATTTGAAGAACTCGAAAAAACTATAGGAAGAGACAATGCTATGTATATTAATCATTTATTTTTCTTTGAATAAACAGGTTAGTTTTTTTTGTAGAGACATTAGAGAATACAATTATAGATGGTGGAGGAAGGAAATATTTGCTTTTTCATCTTCCGGTTATAGGTTACTCATAATTTCAAGGGCAAGAATGATTTGTTGCTCATAGGAATTGAACATTCAGAGGGATCTCTGAAGTTATGGAACTTGAGATTTGGGAGGACTTCGCAACCTCATTTTTTTTGTATGATAACTTGCCCCTGTGGGTGGGGCAAGTTATGATATGCTGGTCCTGGTTGGCAAGACATTTTCACAGAAAGGAATGTACATAGTGCTTAAAGATTTTTCATATTTACTTGCATCAAATCTGGGGAATGATTTATTGTCCTAAACATGGTTGCATTTTCGGCCACCAGAACTTATATTTGTAAGTTTGAATGACTTGTCTTGATATTTTCCAGGTGTGTGAGGAGTGCATTGGAGAAAGAGAGAGCTGTGAGCTGATGGAAAAGCTTCACTATGCTGATGAAGAAATTTATGTTTATCTCGTACGTGGAAAAGAAGCTCCAAAATCAATCTTACAAGCATCCCAGTCCTCTGAGCCTGATCGACGAGCCTCCAAGCGCTCTCGGAGGAAAAACAGTGAAAATCTAGTAAATTTAAAAGTTTCTGCAACTACATCATTATACCAGTTGAAAATGATGATATGGGAATCACTTGGGGTAAGCAATGATAAGTTTGTGGTATTTAACTATAAGGTTTTTCTAAAACTTGTCCTTGTTTTTTGTTCTTTTCCTTAACTAATTAGCATCTTTATATTGCAGAACTATGAACATGTATTCCTCTTTTTCTGTCTAGAACTTCATGTCTCACGATTCAGACTTCTTTATTTGGGGCTGACAATCTTGTCTCTGCCTATGAACCATTTTTTCCCTACAGTTTTCTTGCGTAACACGTTACTTTTGATGAAGTATTGTTGTTGAGTTGAATAAAATATTAATTATTGATTTATACAAACCATTTATATCATTGCATTTATCTCAAATTCTTGCCACTCTTAGTACGGTATGTTTTTTACTTATAAGTTATTAGAAGGTTATCTTTCAAAGCAACATTAATTTCCTGAATTGCTCAATCATTATGAATTAGTTTTGTGGAATTTTAAATCACTTACATGGAAAATTATGATTAAATGTGGAAAATAAAGTTTTTCCTGGAGTTTGTTACATATGCTTTGGCTTGACCCTGCCACTAATTTGGGTTTAATACCAATCTTTGTTTTTCTTTGGACCAAATATCAATCTTCGTATGAAAGTGTGGCTGTAGAAAATTTCTTATTTATATCCATTTTGACAAGGTTTGCTTGATTGTCTTCCTGATTGAGATATTGCTGCTGTTGTCTTTTTTTTTTGTTGCATTTGCAATGAGCATTTGTTGTCGTAGGAAAATAGGTTTTATTTCAGTAGCAGCTTTATTGACAATCACTATATTTAGGTTGTTAAGGAAAATCAAATACTTCACAAAGGATCTCGAATAATTGATCAGGAAACTGCTACTCTTGCTGACATGAATATATTTCCTGGAGATAAGCTTTGGGTGAAAGATTCTGAAATCCATGAAGATCGAGATATTGCTGGTAACTTCAATTTTCGTTTTTGCCCGGTTGGATGTGATTTGGAAGTAATTAGTGAAACTGATTTCTGTTTTAATGCTTTTAGCTTTATCACCCAAGTATTCTTTTAATGGATTCATTGTTTGCTTATCCTTTTGGGGTGATCAGATGAGCTTTCTGACCAGAAAATGAATGTTGAAAATATGGAAGAAGGATTTCGGGGAACACTACTGACGTCAAATATTTCATCTCAAGTTGTTTGAATGAAATACACTTCTGCTTTTTCCCTACAAGATCTAAATTTTTTTAGATATTGATGCTGGAAGAAGAAATCATGGAATGTTTTGATTTGCACATTAGGAGGTAAGTTGCCTTTGCTCTATTTATATGTGCAAACTTTTGGGTGTTTATATTTTCTATATGCATCTCTTTTAGCCTTCTCGTTTTGATGTATTACTTAAGCTATTAAAAAGCTATTGTGCCAGTAAGGTGCCATGGTTGGTAAGCATGAATAAATGTTCAACTGTGAATAATGTCATCTGATGACATAACCGGTAGTGTTCATATATCCATGAATTCCATTCATTGAGTTTCTGAATCTCATTTGCTGTTCTATACTAGCAGCATTGTCATTCGGGGGCTTCTAATTGGTTACCTTTGGAACTTCTTGTCTGGCTTTTACGATGTAAGAAATCAACGATTTGAATAATGTTGAATTTGTGTAAGCAGATAGTTGGAAAGGTTGCTGCTTGGAGGAATTATATAATGTGATGCAATGCCCCTTCCCCAGCCCAATTTTGTGCCTGTGATAATTTCCAGAAAGCCCTAGGACCTAGGCAACCATGGCAGACTATGATAACAAACTTGTGGTCATCACGGAAGCAGCAATAGAAGAAAGCAAAAAAAAAAAAAATGGAACTTTTATTTATATATATATTAGTAGAGACGGATATGAACGTATATAGTATTCTTGCTTGCATGTAGGGGGCTGGACGGGGGTTACGGATGGTTTATGTATTGATGGCGGTGGACTTGTATGTTTTGCATGTACATATATGAGTTGCTGCCATACCTTATGAATTAGAGGTTATCAAATATTAGGATTGCATGGAATAATGCGTATTGCAGTTAATATTTCAGTATACATATTCTATGGCATTAATATTTTGGTAAAACAATACGACTTTATGCTGCAATTACATCAGCCGGTGTTCATTTTTTAATTTGTACAAAAAGTTCCTTTTATAGAATAAGATGATGATCTCATGTTAAGATGTAGATTTTGGTGAATGTTAAACACATTTATATAATGGGTAAATTATAAATTTAGTAACTTAACTATCATCTCTCCCATATTCTACTTTTAATTTTTTTAATATACTTACTGAATTTCATGCATATAATTTTATTATTATTTTCATGTGACGTAAATTTTATTAACTACATCAAATTATAATAAAAAATAAATTTAAAAATATGAAATTATACCTTCAAATTTCAACCCAAATTATAATTCTCAAATCATATATCAAACCCTAAATCTCACATTATAATCCCATCACACTTTACTCGCGACAGCTTGTTGCAATGCCAGTCACTGCCAGCAAAACAAAGCATGCAACCGAAGTATATAAGGAAATGTGTGAAATCAGTGTTTCTCCCGATATGACTACTTATGAGACTTTAACACGAGGTAACGAAACAACCATGAAAAGAGAAAAAACTGCTGCAGGTTATGGAGGAGAATAACCATGGAAAGTGGAAGAACAGTCACTGGAATGCGACTGGCATACAATCGTTTGCTAACCATGGAAAGTGGAAGAACAGTCACTGGAATGCGACTGGCACACAATCGTTTTATCAAACGAAGTTGGAAGACTTACAAAAAAATGTAGATCGAGAGGAAAGAGGGCAGAGCCATTGTCTACATGCATTTGTAAATATTGAAACGCGAAGGTTTTTCTTTTTTCTTTAATAGCGTGGCTCTGCTTGTTATCTATCATTGCAATCTTGAATTTTGAAGTTTAATATTCCGTCATCTTGAATTTTCCGATTGCGGAGGTTAAGGGTGGGGGTTGTAATTTGGAATTTAGGGTTTTGGTTTATGATTTGAGGATTATAGTTTGTGTTTAAATTACAAGAGTAAAGTTTAATATTTTTAAATTTATTTTTATTATAATCGTATATATCATTAAACTATTAAACTTTGTTACATCATATTAAAATAATAATAAACTTTACTCTTGTAATTTAAACACAAACTATAATCCTATATGATGTAGCTTAAGTTACTAAATTATTATAATCCTATATGATCTAACAAAGTTTATTAGTATTTTAATGATATATAGGATCATACAGGATTATAGTTGTAGTCAAATTATATATAATATAAGGGTAAATTACAAATTTAGTAACTAAATTATCTTGTCTCTCCTATTTTATTCAACTTAAGCAGCTTAAGTAGTGGATTTTGTGAGTTTATATATATATATATATATATATATATATATATATATATATATATATATATCATGCTATAGATATATTTCACTATATAGACACGTGGTTGTTTATGTATTCCACACTTATCCCATGAACTTAATGGGGGGTATATAAAACTATTCTAAATAGACCCTTGGGAGGCGTTTTTCTCGATATATCACCTATATCTTATATATTTTCTTGTCAGACGCCTTTCAGACTATATTTCTCAATCTAATACCATTTGCAGTAAGGCGTACCCCTGCAGCGCGTTTTACGTTGATCTGGCGTCACACGAGGTAAGGTGTGCCCCTGCAGCGCGCTTTATGCTGAGTTGATACACGTGCCTAAAGCGGCCCCTGGGGCGCGTCTTACGTCACGTAGGGTTATCGCGCGGGACAGGGGCCGCGCTTTTCAATTATCACATGCTCAATTATCAGACATGCATAATGCAAGGCGCGGTGCAGGGATCGCGCCTTGCATAATTTACCCGAACTTTTCGGGTTTAAAACATCATCTCTCGGCTATAAATAGTCCTTTCCCCGTAAACTCTCTCACAATTCCCTCTCAACCGAGAAATTAATACAACAATCCTTTCAACCAGTAAATAACACCCGACAATCCTCTTATATTTGATTCAGAAGTTCGTTCGATCTTTCGTTATAAGATAATTTTGTTATAATATTTTTTTTTATTATACTTATTGTTTATATTTGAAAAATATTATACTAATTGTTTTTAATTAATTTGTGTGCCAGTTCAAGGGGAAAGCAGGAGCATACGTCGAAATATTTTTGCGGTACAGGTAATAATATAAAATTATATTATTTAAATTATTTACGTTTATGTGTAAAAATTTTATTGTGTTATATTTTCGTTCATATATTATTTATTTAATCAGGTTTGTTTCAGTTGTTTTTTTTGCAGATATAATATTGTCGCACTTTTAAACTCTAAGAATGGCGCGACTTTCAGCTATTGTTTATTATGATGGAGAAATTCGAGAAGATAAAACCGGCGTCGTTTTCGTATCAAATTAGCGTGTTAAAATATCATTCAAGAGAAACATAACTCTTGAGGAGCTGATAACGAAGATTTCAAGGAAGGTTCATGTTGGAAGTAGTAAAAGAATGTCGTCGTTGCAGTACAGATTTCCAACATCATTGTTGTCATTAACTTATACAGCGTTCGAACTATCGAACAATGATGATGTTGAAATGATGGTTGATTCTCAAAGTAATTATTAAGACGTTGATATTGAGATGTGTGCAAAGTTTGTTCAAGTGAATGTTGTTCGGGGTCAGTCATTAAGCTCCCACTATGGGCTGGCTGAGCAAGTTGATCAAGTTGACAGCCCGACTACAGTAATGTATAATGATTTTAATGCCATAATGGAAATCCGCATCATGGTGTCGTCACATCAACTTCAATGGGGAGACATTCATCCGCAACTCCTTACGATATGTACCGTGGTGGATCCACGAACAATCTGTATGGCAACATCGCGTCCAATTCAAGTGAAAGGCATTCATCTGCAAATTTCTTTGACCTTAATATAGAGATACCATCGACGTAACAATCTGTGTAGTTTCCATTTGACACGACGGCTTCAAGCTCTAGGGGAGGCATTCAACTGCGAGCTTTTTCGATCTCAATGTCGATATGCCTTCTAGTTCAGGGGGAAGACGTGCAAGTAGTAGGTTCTTCGACCTAAATGTGGAGAGCATGAAGGAACCATCATCTCCACCAGAAGAACCGCTTCGTGAGCTTGGTGCGGATGGTGCTGAGACTAGACTATTCATTCACCCAGAATCATCGCAATTCAACTCCGATGATGATGATAATGTAGATGAAGTTCCATCAAATGTGGCACAAACTGACCCTCCAGCACACATGTATGAAGCTGATTATGGTGCAATATACGGGCCAGAATTTGCGGATATGCCTCATCTCGGTAACTATGGATATTACTCATCAATAAATAATGGTGAGTTATCTGCGCGATTTGTCCGACATCAACAACCCTCCTATCAGTTGCAGTATGCATGCCCGTGCATACATTTTAACTTCATCATCAGAGGCGTCCTCGCTCAACTCCCGAAAATTGACATCTAACCAATTTAACGGTATCTGATCACCGTTAAAACTTTTCGGGACACATCCTAGATACTCCCGGCACAAAGCAGTCCAGGAACCGTGCGCCATCCCCGATATCACATCTCCATCCACCGGAAGCCCCAGGTGCATAGAAACATCCTCAAGTGTAATCGTGCACTCTCCGCACAGAAGATGGAATGTGTGGGTCTCTGGCCTCCACCGCTCCACTAAGGCAACAATAAGGTCTGGTTCTATCTTACAGTGACCCTCATATCTACCTATGTGACTGAATCCAGCCTCTACTAAATACGGCAAGACACAACTAGATATCACTAACTTAAGGTTCCTAATAAAAGGATCTAATACACGGTCCCTCTCCTAAAATTAAATAATTACAAAAATTAATTTTTAAACTAATAATCATGCATTAAATAAATAAATAAATTATTACTAATAATTTAAATTAAAACGTTAAAATGTTATTGTATCAGCAAAATGTCGAGATATATCATTTTCATCCAAGCGAAGTAGATCGCCTTCCATTTTATATCTATAAAAAAATAATTAAATAAAATATTATAAAATTTAAATACTTAAATAAATTACAAACAAAAATATTAAATATAATCAAATATGCCTTAAACAGTTATAAGAGAATATAAGAGTATTTGAGAGAAGTTGAGAGGATTTGGTGTGATGAAAGTGATTAAGAATGGGGGTATTTATAGGGAGGGATGGGGGTATGAACGGACGGGGTAGGTGGGTAATTAAACCTAAGGCGCGTGCCTTTTTTACGCGTGTCAGATTTAAAGGTAAGGCGCGGCCCCTGCTCCGCGCTATACCCCTACGTGGCGTAAGGCTCCCCCAGGGGCCGCGCTTTAGACACGTGTATCCATATCAACATAAGACGCACTTCAGGGGGGCGCCTTACCCTACGTGGCTCCAGATCAACGTAAAACGCGCTGCATGGGGCGCGTCTTACTGCAAAGGGTGTTAGATCTGGAAAAATAATCTAAATGATGTCTGACAAGAAAATATATAGGGTATAGATGATATATCGGGAAAAACTCCTCCCTGGGAGCTCACTCATTGAAAAAGTCACAAAGTCTTGGAAAAAAGCAAAAGCTAAACACTAAATAAAGAATTAAAACCACCAAGATAAAGAGATAATAAGATAAGATAGTTTGAGAGTAAATATATGCAATTACTTCAACTATGATTAATAAATGATACAAGTTAGATGAGTGGCACTTCTACTTATAATTAAACCTACTTATAATTAACGATACATTTAATTTTCACCAATGATTAAGATGGAAGCTCATATGATAAAATCAACGAAATAAATTATGAAATATATCAAATTCAATTTTTTTTCAATAGTCTATTCTCATATATGTTTATATTGGTGAATATATATTTATTCTTTTAAATATTTATAGATAAAATGTTATTATCCTTTTTACTGAGATGAATGCGACCATGCCTTTTAATATACCGAACCAAATCAAATGATATAAACAAGCCTAAAATACCCTTCAGAACTGCTTGAACAATTAATTACGCGTACATCTCCATCTCAAAGTCATGTTTGGTGATAATTGCTACTAAGCATTGATGCTCATATAACATAATGCGTTTCTCCTATATTATTTTCATATATATTATTATTATTCCAAAATTATTATACATCAATTATCAAATAATACTAACCAAAAAATAATAATCATTGGATATTTACTCTTTGAAAATTTATATGAACAAAATAAAAATAAAATTTAAAGTCCGAGCCATAATTGATGCGTGATAATTTTATGGTGAAGATTTGAATTACGCGTGATAAGGATCAAACTAAAACGCAGACTTTAGAAAAGAAAGTCAATTGTGTAATCATTTAACTAAATTAAAAAAATAGTTATTTTATTGAAAAAATTATATTTAGATTTAGTTTTATGTTTTTTTTATAAAATTATATTAATTTATTAACGAAGACGATATATAGGGTATATTGCATCAATTATGTAACGACAATCAACAACAGTGATCAGAATGAAAGTAAATTAAGAATTTTGTGACTCTAATACAAGTTTTAAAAGTATGAAGACTTAATCGTATATCCATAAAAAATCACACCGACTCGGTTTCGTGAAATCTACTGCAATGTAAATACTGTTCGTGTACATTGATTCACACAGAGGAGAAAAAAGAAAAGAGACGATGCAATTTCGGACCTCATCAACCGAATCCAAATGAGCAATTCCATCTCTCACAAACCCCGTTACACAGTGTCCTTCCTTTGCTTCATTCTGCTCTTCCTCTTCACACTTTTCCTTTTCAGCGAGCGTACACTCGAACCCTCCCTCGCCCTCTACCGACCATCATTTTGGTTTACCAAATCCCAAATCCACTCTTCAAATGCCACAACCATTCGTAATAAGCAGAATCCACCCGCGGATAACGAAACTGTTGACAATGTTGAGGAGAAGAGGAGGGAAACGTGTGATATTTATACTGGAACTTGGGTGAAAGACGATGAATACCCGATTTATATACCGGGTTCCTGCCCGTATGTTGATGAGGCTGTTGATTGCCAAAGCAATGGAAGGCCTGATTCTGATTACTTGAGGTGGCGTTGGAAGCCCGATGGCTGTGATCTTCCGAGGTATGCGCTTTCTTTCATTTCGAGTGTTATTGAGGATGACTCTAATGAAATTGTTATTGATTTCCATATTTAGTTATATACTCTTCATCTTTTGTTAAAATAATGCTGAAGCCAGATTTTGCTGAAAACATTTATCAGAGGTCTAAGTTCTTTATTCTGCTTGCTTCTAGTTGCTCCTAAGTTCAGTGCCAAAACTTGAGTGTAAGCATGACTGCCTCATAAATCCTACAGGTTACAGTTAGTTGCATATAGTAATGATTATTGTTACTTTGAGGTGACCTTCTTGTCTAAGTATTTAATAAATGAACAAATATCTAGTTGACGAGCTATTTGCTCTGCTAAAAATTGGCTTAACCAGACGTCTAGCGTGTTCCTCTTAAGGAAAGCATTTTCTTTTATTCTACATTGTATTTGAGAGATGGTATAGAGATGAAGTTGAAAATATATTATGTTTTATGGGTTATATGTCAATGTTTTTGAGTCCTAGTATGCTTAAACCGCCTTCTAGTTCTTCGGTATGTAAAATTCAAAATTTTCTTCTAGTTATGACTTTGGTTTAGTTTACTAACAACTGAATTAACAAGAAGCTACACAAAGGTGACCATATCTGATTTTGGCTGAAAAGTACGACACTAGCTAAGCCCTTTGTCTGGTTGAGCATTGAGAGTACCAGCTTCAGGCTTCTAGAAGTTCAGGAGAAATTCTGATGCCAAAGGACCTCCATGTTTTTAAATTATACTAGTACCATATAGAGTTTTTTTTATGTTTACCTAGCTTATGGGTCGGTGTCATAGAAATTGATTCTTGCGACTTAAAATTTTAGTTAGGCTTGTTGGTTATATGCTTTTCTGAGCGTGCTGTTATGCATTGGATCCTCAAATGTAATGTAAAAAATTTCTGAGATACATGAAGTACCCTAGTTGGTCAAATACATGTATTTTAAACCCCAAAGTGCCTAGAGCAGTCTCCTTGGTGTTTCATTTCAAAAAAAAAAATGGTAAGATTCTACTTGGTGTTCTGCATTTCAAAGAGCGTGAGATTTTACTTTTGGAGAACAGTGATATTTGGCTGCTATATGTGTAAGTTTGCATTGTGTCAGAGCAGGAACGGCTGGTCTTTGATTATTTTGGTCTCTATGGTATGGATTAAGTTAGTCGCTGACACACAGAGAAGGGGAAATCTTTTTCTTTCTAATTATTCCTTTCATATGTTTTTGTGTTGGTTTAAAGGGATAAGGGATGCTTACTGCACGTGAATGTAGATTTTTAGTTTCTGGAGTACAGACTAGAATTCCAATATTTTAAAGCTTTAGATTATATGCTGATATCTAGGATTAGCAGCGAGGGATGGTGGTTGACTTTTTGGACTTCAAAATGAGGTGTATCTTTTTTTTTCTTTTTCTTTTTCCTTTTTCATTCTGTTGATTTAATTGTTGTACCACCAAACTTCCTATCTTGCTTAAGTTCAACAATGCATGCACAATCTATTCTTACATGAACCCAAGAATATATAATATTTTCATAATTTCCACTACAAAATCTTTTAATTCATCTTTGAAGCTAGAAATGCAGTGTAACCATCGCACTGAATATCTAGTGTCTGCTTTGACAAGGTTGTCATTGTCACTTAACTTTATTGCTCATTGGAAGCCGAAATTGAGTTTCATTATATATATATATATCTGTGGGGGGGGGGTGTATTGTCACTGTAGTGCCTTATTGCTTGCCTAGCTGTAGTTTCTTCTCCATTTAACTGTAATTTTCTTTCCTGCATTTACTTACCAATTGCAGGTTTAATGCTACTGACTTCTTGGAGAGACTAAGAGGTAAAAGGCTGATGTTGGTTGGGGACTCCATGAACCGCAATCAGTTTGAGTCACTCTTGTGCCTCCTACGTGAAGGCCTTACGAATAAGAGCAAATTGTATGAGGTCCATGGCTACAAAATAACTAAAGGAAGAGGGCACTATATATTTAAATTTGAGGTAACAAGATGCTTGTTCTACTTCTTTATTACTTAAGCTTGATACCAGAGAGATTTCATTCATTCATCTAGGAGCTGCAATTTTCCTTTTAGACCACTCACATTTGTCTTATAATTTTTCTTGTCTCTTTCATTGCCTCATTGGTCACTTTATATTTTGATAATTGGATAAGTACATCTTCAAGCATCTTTTTCGACTAAGCTTTTGACCCCATCAAGCCGTTCTCGTCTAATTTGATTTGAGAGAATACTACATTATCCAATACTCTAATCAGCTATGTCATGGAGTGCTTTCCTCAAATACACTTGATCAAAAGTATGTCAGAAAATTTTCTTCATAAGATCTTAAGATAATGTACCAAAATTAATAGGATATCCTATAATTTAAAAGCACTTTTTACTACAAGATAACACTAAAAAGAATATTGGTTTTCTTTGTTATTTCACTTTTTACTTTGAATAAAATAAAATGTTCAGGCAAGAACTGCCCATGAAGCTTGCATTTCCTTGTAATGTCATTTTAATTTTTTACAAGCAACTGAAACAAGTGAACAATTTTATAACATGCAACAGTTTGTAATTTCAAGGTGATCTGAACTCTGAAATTTTGAGCAGGACTATAACTGTACAGTGGTATATGTATTGTCACATTTTCTTGTTAAAGAAGGAATCCGCATTAATGATCAGGGGCAATCAAATCCAACTCTATCGATAGATAAAATTGACAAGACATCTGATCGATGGAAGCGGGCTGATATTCTCGTTTTCAATACCGCTCACTGGTGGGTTCATGGAAAGACTGCTCGAGGGTACATCACTGATCTTACTACGGTTATACTTGTTTTACTTTTAGGCTACATCTGTTTACTTCTTCTGATATTCATGATTTCTCCTACCATTTGATTCTAAATTTGGTTTTAGTAGACTTTTGTGCAAGCATTGATGCATTCTGATATAGAAATGCATAGATGATAAAGTTCTAGCTCAGTTTAGTGTTTTTTAAACTTTTTATTAATATATTATATCACCTCAAAACAATTTAGCATCTTTTTTTTATGGAGAATGATGAATATGATTGGTTGATGCAGGATAAATTATTTCAAAGAAGGTGATTATCTTTACCCAAAATTCGATGCTGTTGAAGCTTACCGGAGAGCTTTGAAGACCTGGGCAAAGTGGATCGATGAAAACTTTAATCCAGAAAAAAATTTGGTCTTCTATCGTGGATACTCTTCCGCTCATTTCAGGTATAGTGGAACCCATTTTGTTATCATTAAACTAACTAGCTATACTATAGGGGCTAAATGTATGATTAAACCCTAAACTCTAATGGAGGAAAGTGCTATGTTTATAGGGGCTAAATATATAACCAACCCTTTTAGAAAAAAATCATACAAGAAAATCAGATTAATATTTATGTGTTTCATTGAATTCCAAAATGAAAACCCATATTATGCTTGCTTACCATATGGTCAATAGGGTTTGTCGTTAAAGAATTCTACATCTTTTACAATCAAGTATTTTACATGAACTATGCACGGCACATATGAACACAGATTGCTGCAGATATATAGGATAGTATTGGCTAATTAATTTCTGCTACTTCAAATAGCGGTGGAGATTGGAACTCAGGTGGATCATGTACTGGGGAAACTGAACCAATCTTGAGCGGAACTGTCCTGGATACGTATCCTTTGAAAATGAAGATAGTGGAAGAAGTGATTCGGGAAATGAAGGTCCCTGTGATACTGTTGAACGTAACGAGGCTGACCAATTCTCGCAAGGACGGCCATCCATCAATGTATGGGAAGAAATTAACAGAAGGGGAAACGAAATCTACAAGGCGGGAAGATTGCAGCCACTGGTGTCTTCCAGGGGTTCCTGATGCCTGGAATGAGCTTATCTATGCCACTCTGGTCTTCAAGAAACTATTGTGAAGAGTTTCAATTTCTAGATTAGAATTTTGATTAGCCAAAAGCATGAGACAATTCATTGTTGTATTCCATTGTTTACTTGGTCTTTCAAAACCAAAGATGAGGAAAATGTGATTCTTGAGTTGCATGTTAGACATGTAGAAAATGAAAGTTATTCTTCTTTAGTCATCATCAAATACCTTAGAGGCGATTATAGGCTAGTGTCAAGCTTCATCAGTGTTATTATTATTATTATTTTGAATAGAAAATAGAGCAAACTAGAAGTTAAGTGCTAGTAGCCCTTGAATACAGGGGCCTTCCACATCGCGCTTCAGCAGAGTCTGAATGGGATCAGGGGGTGCATGTAGAATAGAAAGCTTGTAATGCTGCGAGGAGGTAAGTCTTGAGATGCCGTCAGACATCATAGTACACTCACGTGGAATCCATCGAAATTATGTGTGCCAGGCTTGACTGCGCATAGTGGAGATTATGAGAACCAGTTGCAGTTTGCTACGGGCTGCATCAGGGTCGAGAATGAGGCATATAGCTTGCTGATTATCCGACTGGACCTGTAAATGTAGAATACCGTTTGACCAGGCAACCTGAATTATACCCAAGGATCCATTTGTCGGTTTCGTTGCAAATCACACCGCCAACAGTGCTAATGTCATTAGATGAAGAGACTGATGCATTTGAGTTTAAGCAAAATCGTCCATGCAGAGGGCTCTCCCATGCTACGTGATCTGTACTTCTAGTTTGAGGGTAGAGTTGGTGAGATTCAAGACTCGCAAAATAAGAAGCCCAAGCAGTAAAAATTCAAAAAACCTCCTTGCAGTGTTAAGCAAATATCATTAAAGATAAAATCATTTCTTCGTTTCCACATGCCACAGAAGGAAGGGGGAAATTAAGTACCAATCGTGGAGCTATCATTCGAAGTAATGTACGATTTGATATTAAGAGAAATCCAACGATCCAAGGGGAGCAAGAAGGAGGAGGCTTGAAGATCGAAAGGGATAATTTGTTGCCAAAACTCACTAGTTGCATGACAATTTCTTAAAACCCCGTCGAACACGAAGGATCTACTGCAGTTTCTACGAGACAACTACAAGAAAGACGCGAAGGATCTACCACAAAACCCCGTCGAACACGTTCCTCATTTGTCATAATACGTTGTTTGATGACAAGCCAAAGAAATATTCGAATACGTTCGGGTATGGGAAGTTTATAGAGTAAATGCCATATTGGATTACAGTCTTCCCAAGCGGAACTAACTAGAGATTCATAAGCCGAAGCGACGGAAAAACGTCCAGTAGGAGATGGACGCCATACAATGACATCGTCTTCAGGGCTTGTCCCAGGAGGAAAGATTCCTAAAACATGGGGAATAGCCTTGGGAACAAGGAGGGAATAAAGGCTGGAAGTATCCCAAGAGCCAGACTGAACAAGGTCCTTAACATGAATATTGTTAGTGACGGTAGAACGAAAGAGGGCCCATTGGCGCAGAGGGCCAAGGGAGGGGACCCAAGTATCGTCCCATAGGCGGAGAGAATTACCATTACCGATGAGCCGAAGAAAGTTGTCGCGAGCGGAGTCCCAAGCGTGAGAGATCGCACTCCAAAGGGGGGAACAGGCTGGCTTACGGATCGAGAGAGGGCAGAGACTTGTCATACTGTATTTTTGCTTTGGGACTTGAACCCATAAGGCACCGCGTTTAGCAACCAAGGCGAAGGCAGCAAAGTATCCTACAAGCGTACCCATTTAAATGTTATTTAATATATTTAAATTATTTTAAATTCTAAATACTAAACCTTAAATATTAAATATTAACTATACATATTTAGAACAAATTGAATTAAAAGAGTCATCCTAACATCTGCAGTACTTAATTTAAATTAATCGATTAATAAATTAGATAGTAGTAGTTATAAAAAAATTCACTATACATTACAAATCAACAATCCCAAAACATATAATTTCTAATCTTAAATAAAAATTGAATCGTATTAAATTGAAATAATTGATTTTCACCATACTATTTGTTTTTATTACTTAAATTCAGCAAACAAAATTTAATGACTTTGGTCTGAGAATCGAAGCATAGATTTTCTCCTAGATAAAGAGATTCCATGTGCGCTTTCTCTCCCTTTGTCTGCTGGATTCTCTCAGACCCGGAACAGTATTATATTTAAATAAATTATAAGATAATAAAATTTTTAAATTTTTTAGTTATTTAACAATAAATACCTTGTAAACACGTGATTTACATATAAATATACACTTAACCTTGAAACCCCCCGGCAAAACACACACTATAGTTTAGTGTAGTAGGTGTCCCCTGCATTTTGCATCTTGCATCTTGCATCTTGCATCTTGCATCTTGCATCTTGCATCTTGCATCTTGCATCACTTCTCTCTCCAATCACGTCCCCTCAAGCAGCTCCTTCGATTTGCAAATTTTCTCGCTTGCTTGCTGCTACCTTCGTGTACTCTTTTTAATTTAGCCATAATAAAGTACCATTTTCTTTACAGTCCACTGGCATTCCTGTTCATTTACGAACGAATCTGCAAGTCCCAAGCTTTGGGCTTTTCTTTCTCTTCTTCTCTCTTTAATCATTTGGGGGGAGAAGAAGAAGAAGCAAAGCTATAATGGGGCTTTGTGGGTTTGGGTTGTTTTAGCATTTGCTTTTTCTCAGCTGGTTATCGCCTTTTTAGATTTCAATGAAACTGAGCTGTCGTTTCTTGAATCTTTAGAATATGGAGCTTCCAAAATCAACTATAATCCTCTCATGGTTGGACTCACTCTTATTCACACCGCTGGCGCTAAAGGAGCTGGTACATTTATGTTCTTTCTTTATATGTTAATCCGGATTTAGAGTTCACCGTCTTCATTTTTTTCCAAGAAAAAACTGGGTTTCTTTAAAATAACATTAATAATGTAGCATTTTGCTTGTTATGTTTCATCTATGCAGTTGATTGAAGTTTTCTTCTTCCTTTAAACATCAACCTCCCCCTCCCCTGTTTATTTTTTGTTTACTTGTATTCTACTTTACCAATGTGGTCTTAGGAAGAACAATAATGAGTAATATTTAGTTACTAAGAAAGGATATTAGATCTTCAGGTGATCATTGTTGTTCCAACTGTATTATAACTTGATTGAGACAGAAAATACTTGTTATCCATTTCTTACCAATTTTATGTTTTATTGGCCGTAGAATACATAATCTCTTGTTAAGATTCTTTTTTTCTTGTTTTGGATGATTTCATATGTTGCGGAAGACGGCTATCAGATAGAGTAAAATCGCAATTGATAATTTGAGAAAATAAAATGGAGATAAAAGAGACACAAAATTTACGTGAAAAACTACTAAATAATATAGAGTAAAAACCACAGACAACGGTAGAAGAATTTCACTATGAGAAAATAAGAATTACAACTTCTCTCAATCTACCAAGGAGAAAACAATGATAATTATCTCTTGATAAAAAAAAAAGAGAAAACAACTTTCAAGAAACTCTCTAAATTCTTTAGTATTAGAAGAAAACTAAAATACTTTGAGATGGTTTTAAAGCTAAATGAGCTAGGGTATTTATAGTTGAAGTTTAAGGACTAATCTTATAAATACCCTAAAGTACAATGACTAAATTGTGTAATTTACCCTTTAGCAAAATTCAACAAATGCTGCTAATTTTGGGTGCCATTAATTTTGCACCGAAAACACCCATTTGCACCAAAGTGGCCAGTCCCTTTTGCTAACTTTTCAATAATCTCCCACTTGAAGATTTGATTGGAACAATCATATATTCATACCATTTTTTCTACCTTATACCATCATGTTGCTTACGTTTCTGACATGCCACAAGAAGATCGACACCAAGTAAATTTATCAGCATTGATCGCCTTCGTCATGAAATCTGCTTTGTTGTCTTTTATATGGATCTTATGCATATCTATCGTCTCTTCTTCCACCTTTTCACGAATGAAATGGTATTGAACTCGTATGTGTTTCGTCCTTTAATGAAATGTTGGATTCTTTGCTAGATGCAATGCGATTTGACTGTCACAAAACAGAGAGACATACTCTTGATTGTGCCCAAGCTTCTCCAATAGCATCTTCAACAAAATTGTTTCTTTATTGGCTTGTGTAGCTGCTACATATTCTGCTTCTGTTGTGGATGTAGTCACAATTGACTGCAATTTTGAAACTCAGCTTACAGCACCACCAACAACTTTGAACACATATCCTGTAGTAGATTTACTTTTATCTTAATCCTCTGCATAGTCAGAATCTGCATACCCATTGATTAGTAAGTTTGATCCTTCGTAACATAATGCAACATTTGAGGTCCCTTTGATGTATCTCAGGATCTTCTTTACTGTATTCCAATGCTTTTGCCTGGATTCACCATGTACCGACTAACCACTGTCACTGCTTGTGCAATGTCTGGTCTTGTGCATATCATAGCGAACATTAAACTTCTCACAGCCGATGCATACGACACTCGAGACATCTCCATCCTCTCTTCTTCACTGCTAGGACTCATACTGGAGGATAATTTGAAGTTAATAGGAAGAGAGGTAGAAATTGATTTACAATCTTGCATGTTGAATCTTAACAAGATCTTCTTCAAGTAATTTTTTTGTGAAAGCCAAATCTTCCTATTACTTATGTCTCGGTGAATTTACATCCCTAGAATCTTGTTTGTTGATCCCAATTCCTTTATTTCAAATTCCCTAGCCAGTTATGCCTTCAATTCTTCAATATGATATTTGTTGGGTCCTGCAACCAACATGTCATACACATACAACAGCAATATAACAAAATCGTTATCACCAAACCTCTTGAAATAAACACAAGGGTCTGCATTAAGTCTGTTGTATCAAAGGCACATAATAAAGGAATCAAATCTCTTATACCAACACTTCGGCGCCTACTTTAGACCGTACAGAGATTTGTTTAACCTGCAAATCAAGTTTTTCTTTTCTTTTTCTTCAAAACCTTCAGGCTGGAGCATGTAAATTTCTTCTTCAAGATTTCCATGAAAAAAAGATGTTTTAAGATCTAGCTGCTCTAGATGTAAGTTCAATGTAGCACACATTGTCAATACTACTCGAACTGTTGTTAGTAGAACCAAAGGAGAAAAGATTTCATTGAAATCAGTATCTTATTTTTTAGCATATCCTTTGACCACCAGTCTTGCACGATACCTCTCCACTTGATCGTTATCATTTCGCTTGATTTTGAAGACCCATTTGTTACCAATTGGCTTCTTTCCTTGTGGTAGTGCCACAAAGTCCCATGTATTATTTTTATGAAGGGCTTCAATTTCTTCTTGCATCGTCATTATCCATAGTGAAACATCTGAGCTGTTTATTGCCTCTTGGTATGTTGATGGCTCACCGTACTCTGTTAAAAGGCAGTATGCAACATTTCCTTCTATAACATAATCTGAGTGCCAATTGAGATGTCTTCTCACACGATCTGATTGACGAGTTGTTGAGCTTCAGAACTCTCTGGTTCTTGTTCATCATGTGTTGATTTTGCTTCAGAAGAATCTCCTTGTTTAACCTCCTTTTCCACATGTATATGTGTAATTTCTGACTTTTAAGCACTATCATCGTCTTCTTTTCTTTGTAGTTTATCTTCTACAAAGATAACATCACTGCTGATGATCACTGTGCGGGCAGTGGGATCCCACAAGCGATACCCTTTGACTCCATCAGCATACCCCAAGAATTTGCATTTTCTGGATTTTGGATCCAACTTTGAGATTTCTTGGGAGTTGTATATCACGTACACAATACTTCCAAATATATATGGAGGTTTGAATAATCAGTTGGTTTACCAGTTCACATCTTCATTGGTGTCTTCAGCTCTATTGTAGTTGATGGAGCTCGATTCACCAAATAACAGGCGGTATTGACTGCTTCTGCCTAGAATGATTTTTCTAGGCTTGCATCCCTCAACATTGCTCTTATTCTTTCTAACAAGGTTCTGTTCATCTGCTCTGTCACTCCATTTTGTTGAGGAGTGTTCGTCACTGTGAACTGTCTTTTAATGCCTTCTTTCCTGCAAAAGGCATCAAATTCTTCGCTTATGTATTCTCTTCCATTATCTGTTCTGAAACACTTGATTTTATTTCCAGAATCAAGTTCCACATGCGTTTTGAAGTTTTTGAAAGTTGAAAACACGTCTGACTTCTTCTTAATATGGTACACCCAACATCTCCTGGAGTAGTCATCAATAAATGAGACAAAGCATTTTTCTCCGCCTAGGGATGTAACTGGTGCTTGTCATACATCAGAGTGAACCAATTCTAGAACACTTTTGCCTCTAGAATTTGACGTATTGAATTTCAACCGATGCTGCTTACTTGTTATACAATGCTCACACAAAAGAAATGATACATTTGTTAAGCCCGGAAGTAGCTTTTGCTCCACAAGAACTTTCATTCCTTGTTCTGACATGTGTCCAAGTTTCTGATGCCATAACATTACAGAATCTGAACTACATGAGGCAACAGAGGCTTTTGCTTCTAGCAAAGTCTCTCCCTTCAGCATGTACAAGTTTGCAGATATCTTTTTGCCTTTCAGCACCACAAGCGCTCTACGGAACACCTTCATGATTCCTTTCCGTGTTTCAATCTTGCTTGCATTATTATCCAACAATTCGTAGGATAATAAATTTTTCTTCAGGTTTTTCACGTGCCGCACATCTCGAACAACTTTAATTATTCCATTATACATCTTCAATTTGATGGTTCTCACGCCAACAATCTCTAAGGCATGATCATTACAACTATACACAGATCCTCCTGAGACAAGTTCATAATGATGAAACCATTCTCTTCTTGAGGTCATGTGATATGTTGTTCCCGAATCAATGAGTCATATATCTGCATATATCTTTCTACCTTCCACGGTGGTTGACACTTCACAGCATAAAACATCTCCATTTTTTGAAGTGTTTGCGGTATTGCCTTGTGGATTAGAGTTTTTATTTAGACTCTAACAATCCTTCTTCAAGTGACCCTTCTTCAAGTGACCCTTCTTTCAACAGTTGTAGCACTTTAAATTCTTCTTGCTTCTTGACTTCGATCTACCATGTTTGTGACTGTTGCTTTGGCCACGTTCTGTTGATCTCCCTCTCATCGTTGTCAACGCTTCTGCTTGTTGTAGATTTACTTGTCTGTCTTCCTTGTTCTTATGCCGATTTCCTTACTTGTTCTTATGCCGATTTTTTTCTTGTAGAACAACAGCTGCAACGTCATCGAAGACTAGACTGATGACATTACTGTTTGTCAAGTTGATGATGAGTTGATCATACGAATCAGGTAGACTTTGAAGTAGAAGTTCAGCACGTTCTTGTTCTCCTATTGTACATCTTAAGGATGTAAGCTGAGAAAATAAAGTGTTCAGCGTATTTAAGTGTTTCGTCACTGAAGAAGATTCTGGCATCCGGAGAGTGTACAATTTCCTCTTAAGAAAAATTTTATTGTGCAACAATGTGGCCTCGTAAAGTTTGGTGAGATGATCTCATATCTCCTTAGCTGTCTTCTTCTCCTCGATGCTTGACAATATTCCATCTGCTAATGCTAGATGAAAGTTTGCCATAGCATTCTCGTCTATTTCGATCAATTTGTTGTCATCTGTGGAATCCACCAGTCTTTCACTGATAGCTGCTAGACAACCGTCTTTCCTCAAGATGGTCTTCATCTTCAATTTCCACAATGAGAAATTCCTCACATTGAATTTTTCAATATCAAATTTCGTTGTCATAGCTTGTATTTCGGATAGCTCACATTATTTCACTATCGTGAATAGTTCTCTGGAACCTTCAAAGAATGAGTAATACCTTCTTACTTTCTTATGTTGGAGGATCCACCTTTTGGTGGCAACCACAAAGACAATAAGTAGATATTACACACTCAAATCTGGCTAGGATACTAATTGTTGCGGAAGACAGCTATCGGATAGAGCAAAATCGCAACTGATAATTTGAGAAAATAAAATGAAGATAAAAGAGACACAAAATTTACGTGGAAAACCCCTAAATAATATAGGGTAAAAACCACGGGCAACGGTAGAAGAGTTTCACTCTGAGAAAATAGGAATTACAACTTCTCTCAATCTACTAAGGAGAAAACAATGATAATTCTCTCTTGTTAAAAAAGGAGAAAACAACTCTCAAGAAACTCTCTAAATTCTCTAGTATTGGAAGAAAACTAGAATGCTTTGGGATGGTTTTGAAGCTAAATGAGTTTGGGTATTTATAGTTGAAGGTTAATGATTAAACTTATAAATACCCTAAAGTACAATGACTAAATTGTGTAATTTACCTTTTAGCAAAATTCAACAAATGCTTCTAATTTTCGATGCCATTAATTTTGCACCGAAAGCACCCATTTGCACCAAAGTGGCCAGCCACTTTTGCTGACTTTTCAACATCATCTGCTGTGCTCATCTGCTTCAGCCAGTCAGCCTGCACATCAGTTTTGCACACTCATACTGAGAATTCACAAAGCTTAGCCGGACGTTTTGCTCGAACTCTTCATTTTTCTTAAACAACTTGTATTTCGACACATGGCTATACCCCATGTCAGATGTTCAATCGAGTAATATAAGTTTAGTCCACTTAAACTGTCTTGGCACTTGTCCTAATTTACGCGATTTTATTCTATCTTTCTGTTGTCCAGTCTGCCTGGATGGAACATTGCCAGGGTATCATTGGCATCCTGGATATGGATCAGGAGCAAATAGCTGGCTTATTCAATTGGAGGTATGTGAGAGAGTAAATAAATTATGCAAATATATAGTTATTATTTGACTGTATAATTCGATATTAATTCTGCAGAAGTAGTCTGTTTCTCTAAAATGTTCTTTTTCATTGTGTTGTTGCAGGGAGGAGGATGGTGCAATAACATTTGAACTTGTGTCTACCGCAAAAGAACTTGTGTCTACCGCAAAAGAACCAGACGTGGATCATCCACTTACATGGAAAAGCAGATACCATTTACTGGAATATTAAGTGAAAAGGCTGAAGAAAATCTCGGTTTCCTCTTCATCCTTTTCCAACAAATATTTGTACCATGTAAACTTTTCCAATTGCAGACTTTTCCAATTGGAACAGAGTAAAGCTTTGTTACTGTGACGGTGCCTCTTTTACCGGGGGCAGCGAAAATAAGGTAGCCTAGATATTGAAAATCATGTCTCTTAGTTAATTGTAAACTTTGATCTGCTTGTCAGTGTCTTAGTTCTGTGTTTGTTGATAATATTTCTACTCCATGTTTAGGCTGCCCAGCTGCAATTCAGAGGCCAACGTATATGGCTAGCTGCAATGGAAGATTTAATGTCAAAAGGAATGCGCTATGCAAATCAGGTTTGCATTTGTTTCTGATCGGAACATTCTTTCGAAAAAGGATTACCTTTCTATATTTTTATTTTCTTGTAGTTGGGAGGTATAAGTATGGCAAGTATTAGCCATTAGGCTATGCCTCACCACGTTTTCATATTTTCTTTTTGTTGTAAAAAGGAAAGATTAAATTTCAGGCTCTTCTTTCGGGGTATTCTGCTGGGGGTCTAGCTGCAATTTTACACTGTGACGAGTTTAGGAACATGTTTCCCAAAACCACTAGGGTTAAATGCCTTGCCGATGCCGGTCTATTCCTTGATACGTAAGTAACATTATCCTTTCAGGGTCTTGTTTTAAGCACCAGTTTGAGAAATTGAGAGATTATTTCTTAGTTCTATCCTTTTTGGACTGTAGGGTTGATGTCTCTGGTGGTCAGACACTTGAGAGTTTGTTCAGCGGCGTGGTTGGCTTGCAGGTTCAAGATTTATAAGTTTTTTCTCACATTTTCCTATTGGTACCAGAGGGTTTGGTATAAATAATTGAAGAAACACAAGAGAAAACCTGGGTTATTTAATGCTCGAGTCCTGTTTCTTATCGATATCACAGGGTGTGCAACACAACCTGCCACGTATATGCACCAACCACCTCGATTCAACATCGGTATATCGGTTTTCTTGATTTCTTTAATTTGAGTGATTAACAAGAAACATCATGTGAATTTGACTCATCGTTCTCTTGTATGAAACTTCCATGTTTCAGTGTTTCTTTCCACAAAATCTAATCAGCCACATCCAACCTCCACTGTTTATTCTCAACGCAGCTTACGATTCATGGCAGGTAATGATGATCCTTGCCTTCGGAATAGTATTATCGATTTATAAATTAGGGCATGATAATGCATAATGTTAAATGAATTGGTTCCCTTTCTTGAAATCAGATTCAATCCAGTATCGCTCCACCATCTGCCGATCCGCATGGTTATTGGCATGATTGCAGATTGAACCATGCAAAATGTTCCCCTTCCCAGATCAGGTTCTTACAAGGTGATTGGTTTTTCATTTTACATGCAATTCAATAATCTAGGTTAGCTTAAGCAACTCTCTTGCTTGCGAAACAGGCTTCCGCACGCAGATGCTTAATGCCATAAAAGGGTTCGCAATGTCAAGACGGAACGGATTGTTTATAAACTCGTTTTTTGCTCACTGCCAATCAGAACGGAAAGACACATGGTTCGCCGACTATTCTCCCGAAATCCGAGACAAGGTTTGTCTAATAAACAATCGGATTTCATTAAATTTATGTCATATGAATTTGAAAAGGACATGTAAATGAGTCTGCAATTGATAATGTGGCAGCCAATTGCAATAGCTGTCGGAGATTGGTATTTCGACAGAGCAGGAGTGAAGTCCATCGACTGCCCTTATCATTGTGACAAAACTTGCCATAATCTGGTTTTCAGATGATTTACTTAGCTTTGTTAGAAGTAGCTAGTTTGATTATTCGAACGGATTGACCGTGCGGTTCGATGAAATTAAATACAAGACAAAAAAAAAAAGGTGTTAATGAGGAAATGCAAATGCAATCAGCAAATCTCCCGACTGCGATGTCTCTGCAAATTAGCATCGCTCATTGTTGTTGGTTTATTTATATCTACACTGGTTCATGATGTATTTTGTCGTTAGTTTTATAATTAAAATTTTATTTAAAATTTTGGGTAAAGTATACAAATAGTCCACCAATTATAGGATGTTTTGTTGAGTCAATCGACTGTTTAAAGTTATAAAATAGTCTCCCAGTTATAGGACGTTGCTTTGATGTGTACATCGACTATTAAAATTTATAAATTAATTATTTAATTATTTATATGTTTTTAATTTTTAAATTTTTTTAATTAAAAATTTGATGGTTCTCTAAGCTAAACGTTATCCTGTTAACTGAGCTATGATAAAATTTGATCACGAAACTGTTTGAGTTGTATAGTTATTTGAGATTCTAGGATCTGCTTTTGTCATATCACAGTCATCACGTTAATGTCTAACATAGAAAGTCGTCAATCTTTTAATAGAAAATGATGAATTTAAAATATATAAATAGTCTGATGACCAAAATGTAACTTTTTACAGTCCGTAGATTCAATAAAATAATAACCTATAAATAAAGGATAATTTTGTAACTTTTAATAGTTCACCTATTCAAACCCTGAAATTATTTGGGTCAAACCTAAATATAAAATATTTAAACTTATTTTAAAAAAAAGTTAACTAGACTTCTTTTTTGTTAAAATTCATCACCATCAAAAGAAATTAGGATGCCTATTGACGTATATGAGTCGAGAGACTCCACATATACATATAGCACACGTGACGAGTGTGTAAGATGCCAAGTGGCAAGAGGCAATTCCAGGTTAGGTCAAATCAAAATTCTTGTAAGATTTTTTGCCTTGTTGGTTAAGATTTTAGATAAAGATAAATATCCGAAATGTAATTTCTAAATATTCAAAAGGGAAAACGCGTTTTCTAATATGCGTGTCTTGATAGGAAAGCCACAGGTGACGGCTGTGATTGGTGATCACCATTCATAATAATGATGTGACATGCATTCCCGGCCGCGGCTCCGCTGTTTCAGGTTTATGCGGCAACCTTCGAGCCGTCTGGTTTTGTCGCAAACGACTCCGGTGCCGCGTGTTGCGGCCGTGTGATCCAAATTGATTGCAATGGAAAGCAAGCACATGAGGCCGGCCTTCATACTCTGAGCTGGGATTATTCCTCCAGTTCATGCCACAAAGTTGAAGCATAATCCTAGGTTTTGTAGTACTACTTTTGGATGTCTAAAACTCTTCTTGACAACGACAAGGAACCATGATAAACACAATTTTTTTATAATCATGGTTTATTTTTTTAATTTAACAAAATTTTAAATTTATTATATTTTCCCTAGATTTTTCTAAAGTCACATTTCCGATCTCATGCTTCAATTTATCAAATTATAAACCTTTTGAAGTTTCTTGAAATTTTTAAAGTTTCATGTTCTTTGATATAATTAAATTAATAAATATTTACTAAATTTTTTTAATTTTCAAATCAATATTAAAAGTTTGTATATAAATAATTATATAAAATTAAAAATTAAATCTTCCTCTTTCAACATTGAAGTTCTCACTCTCAAGTAGGGCTGTAATTGAGATGAGACAGATCGCGAGCTACTCGAGATCGACTCGATCAAGACTCGATAAATACTCGAATCGAATGAACTCGACTCGAGCTCGAGCTCGACTTGAGTTCTTAACGAGCCTAAACGAGCTACTTGATATTCGACTCGAAAAAGCTCGTGAGCAGCTCGATAAATGTTATATTATAATTTTAGATTTTTTAAAATTACATTATTAAAAATACACTATTGATAATTATAAAATTTTAAAAATATATTAAAAATTCTATAATACAACTACCTCAAATTTTAATTAATGTCCTTGTAATAAACCCTAAACTACAAATCTTAAACTATAAATCCTAAACCCTAAATTACACTTAGTACTTACCTCATAATTTGATACCAAATCGATTAATTAATGTCTTTGCAATAAATCCTAAACTCTAAATCTTAAACCCTAAATTACAAACCCTAAAACCTAAATATGACTATGTGATAGGGGTTAAGTCATGCACATGAAGGTAACATACAAATTATGCAAAATGATGTTATGTGACTTCTAAATAAATCAATCACATACTTATACATAAACATATCAACATGCAAAATAAATGTACACAACTAATTAAAGAAAACAATCCTAAACAGAGACTAAATTAAGAGAAATCTAAATGTGAGGACTAATTTAAGCTAAATATACTAACTTTAGAATGATGATTAAATTCACGTAAATGTAAAATTAAACTTACAAAATTGGAATTAAACCTACAAAATTGGAATTAAACCAATAACTTAAATACAAAATGTGCATAAACTATAGGGTCTTATATGCAATTAATCCTATTCGATTTAAGCTAAAATAATATGAAAAATAACATAAATGACACCTGAACATTTAAAACAAATAAGATCAATTCTTTGCATCTTATCCGCAAATTTAGACAAGTTTACCTGGGAATTTTTAATATTCAAGGCTGAAGCTACAGCTGGTACAAACTACACTAACCTGTTTGAGTTGGAACAACAAAACAGGATTTTGCTCAAAGAAGATTGGATCTAATGCATTAATTTCCTCCACAACCTCAACAGCCATTCCTCTGCTAGCTAGCTCCTTCATCCGGAGAACAATTTCATATTTTTCTTCCACGTTGGTATTTCCACTCCCTTCATAATAAAAACTATTCTATTATAGTAATTTGTAATGCAACTGTTATAAAACTATTCTATTATCAATCAATTATATTAAAACACAAAAAAATTCCAAAATGTTGTTTTGCTCGACTGTCGTTGGTTTGCCATTATTGGTCCCTCTCATGGTTTTAACAGGAGAAGTATTCAAAGCATGGAATTCATGTTCAGAGGTAAAATAAATAAATAAATTGTATGACTTTTCACTTTGGGGTAATAATAATTACTCTGTAAAATCTGGGTTTTCATCTTCTTTCTTGCTTGAGCATCATTTATATGTGTATGGAATGTTGGTCTTTGAAGCCATTGCCACATTCATTGGTCAAGTTTCAGTCCTTTCCTTGATTGCCATTTTTGGTGCAGCCACTACAACAATGGTACATTTTCTCTTATCCATTACTGGTTTGTGGTCATACAATTCTGATACATAGACATACACATATATATGGTGGAAAATAAACGCAGCACATGATGAACTTTAATGCACAGGTGACAACTGCAAGAAAGGCAGTGACTTTATTACTGTCATACATGATATTTACCAAGCCATTGTCCGAGCAGCATGGGACTGGACTTCTACTTATAGCTATGGGGATCACCTTGAAACTCCTGCCATTTGATATCAAACCAGTTTACAAAAGAGTCTCGACCTCATCATCTTCATCTGCAAATGGAAAAACTGGAAACTCTTTTACTGGTGAAATTGAAGAGGAGAAAAACCCCATGTTCTAAACTTTAAGTCGGAAATGCACATCGAACCATCTTGCAAATCCACAGAAGCGAGTGCCCTATCATTCTAATGGCTTCAAGTCTCCTGTTTTAAAAGCTTTGTAAATGTGTGATATGTGGCCTTATATCCCACATCTTTAAGATAGAAACAAGTGCTCCAAAAGTGATCTTATAAAATTAAAGCTCAAACTCAATGGTTAATTTGTTGAGCCACGTGATGAGCACTTAGTTTGAATCGAGCTTGGATCGAGCTCGAGTTTGGTTGAATTTGAGCATTTTCGAGTTTGAGTCGAGTTTTAATATTATCTTTCGAGTTTTCAAGTCGAGTTGAGTTTACATTTAAAGTTTTCGAGTTCGAGTTGATATTTAAACTCGATTCGGCTCGTTTACACCCCTACTCTCAAGCTTATTCTTTTTATTATTTATTATTTATTTCAGTTCATTAAATCATTATTTACAACTTTCAGTCTAAATCAAAACAATGAACTATAATAACCACTATAATCTTATTCTTATCCTCAACAAAATTAAATTTGATTAATAAAATAAAAGTCATCGATTTATTTAATTTAAAAAATAGAAAGCTCACCCTACATGTGCTACACTTCCAAAAGGCAACAGACAAACACTGTACTGCTCATGGGGCATCAGAATGATACAAGTGGATTCACAACGTTAAAGTAGCTAAACCATGTGACCATCAATGATCGTCAACACGATCAGCAACGTATCTACCAATCAACTGCATGCCACAACCGACACGTGGATTCGCAGGGGGTCTCTATAAATAACGCTATCACCACTAACCATTCTCCAAGGCAAAGCAGTCATCGCAATACCATAAACCTCTGAAAAACAAAACAAAACTCTCTTTGAATTTCTTCTCTATCCAGCAGTTCTTTTACTGTTTAAAAAATGGCAGACAATAGCACGGCCACCTGCATAGATATCCTCTTGGCCGTCATCTTGCCTCCTCTCGGTGTCTTCCTCAAGTATGGTTGCCAGGTCATCATCTACATCTCTTAAACAATTCTGCCTTGTTTACTGTAATACCCATATCTATGGCTGTGATTAACGTTGATTAATTTTGATGCAGGCGGAGTTCTGGATCTGTCTTGTACTGACCCTCTTTGGGTACATCCCTGGTATCATTTATGCTATCTATGCCATCACCAAATAGACATGTAAGAAACTCACTCTTCTATGATTAATACTTCAATGATTCTGGGAACTAATTAATCTTCTTTTTATTTGCAGGTGGAGATTTGGTGTAGGGTTCTTGTTTGTTTTAATGTGTGTCGGCTAATACCATTTGTATTGCTTGTATGTTTTTTTATCATTATTTGTTTTACTTCAATTAATATTCTGTTTTGATGTGATGTAAAGTTGGGGTTATATGATTATGATTTATAAAATTCGGTTATGCTGTGTTGGTTGTTAATGCAATGATGTAACGCCCCATTAATTATCCATCATTTTATCTTAAAATTGAAAAAGAATGCTCTATTTTGAAATAATTAAAATAAGAGTAAAGAAACAAAAGAGAAGATATGCGCTATCCAACCTACACCCACTTGAAGCCGTGCTTTCCAAGAAGCATATTAACTACCGGGTTTATTGTCCGCATCGGATTCTCCGATCTAAATCAACGCCCCTAGTCCATACTGTCCAACATTATGGAATTTTTTAATATAAATTATTTTTTTATCGTAATTAGTTAATTAATATATATTAAATACTATAAAATTTTATTATAGAATTCTTTCTTTTAATTTATTTTTATGAATTGTTTTTATTCGTAATATCAAATTTTAATTATTTAATATTATTTAGATAAACTAATTGTTAATATATTATTTTTTAATTATTCTAAACTTGATAAATTAATTATTTGTTGAATGAAATTGAGGAAATGAATGATAGTTTCTTAATGGATCGTTGGTTGTCTCACATGGAATTATCGACCCCGATCAAAATTGCAGTTCAAGCTTCAAAATTTGCGTGGGTACATGGAATGGTCCTACAAGAAAAATAAGTAAAGAAGGTTAAAAGATTATAAAAAATGAAGCAACGTGACGCTTGGTGCATAGTTAGGAACTTTCATGACCCCTTGGAGTTTCCTGACGTGAAATAAGTCACATTAATCACAAACCACATGGATAAGGCCAAGGTATCACCAGTAATTGTGACCCAAAACTAAAAAATTAACTTCAAAAATCAAACAATGAAAAAAAAATAAAAAAAATGTAGCATAACATAGAATTATATGGATCATTCATTGTCCACGTCAAACTTGGATCAAAATCCAAATATGAAATATACGAAGGGCACGGCTTCACGCACAAACAATTCGTACATATTTTTAAGGATATGATCCATTTACATTCAATAGAAAAAATTTAGGATTGTTGGATTAGGAAATTTAAAAGGTTCGGATTAATAATAAAAAATGAGAATATATTCAATGAAGAAAAAAGTATAAAGAATTAACCTCAATCTTTGATTTCTCCTAATCCAACTCTATTTTTAATACATGGTTGGTTGTCCCTTGTTCTATATGTAATGGGGTAAGGGAGAGGTAAGATAGTAAGCTGCCCCCAACACCAGATTGAGAGCAGCTTCCGTAGAAGACCTCTGAATTATGAAATGCCCTCCGTGAGACTCGATCCCACGACCTCAATGTTAAGAACCTTGTGCTCTACCAACTGAGCTGGATAGTCATCTAAGATACATGAAACCAATAAAGAATTAACCTCAAACTATTGTCAATTTTTAACGAAGAAAGAATAATTTGGAATATATAAATGGTCGAGTAATAATTTTTAAAACTTTTAAAAATTGGGGGACTCACTAAATAACACTCTATAATCAAATGATCATTTTATAATTTTAATAGTCGATAGTCTTAACAAAATAGCATATGTACATTTGTATACTTTACCCTGGGTCTATTGTTATTTTATTAAAAAAAAAAACAACGGCACATGGGCTATTAATGTGCTCAAGAAGTCAAATATGTGAATTGACGAAATGGGCCAGTTCATTCGTACCAGAACACCCATTGTGCCATCCATGCATACATGTTCGACTGATATATTGTTGTGTATATTCTTCAATAGAATTTTGTGCCCTCCGTGAGACTCGATCCCACGACCTAAATGTTAAGAACCTTGTGCTCTACCAACTGAGCTGGATAGTCATCTAAGATACATGAAACCAATAAAGAATTAACCTCAAACTATTGTCAATTTTTAACGAAGAAAGAATAATTTGGAATATATAAATGGTCGAGTAATAATTTTTAAAACTTTTAAAAATTGGGGGACTCACTAAATAACACTCTATAATCAAATGATCATTTATAATTTAATAGTCGATAGTCTTAACAAAATAGCATATGTACATTTGTATACTTTACCCTGGGTCTATTGTTATTTTATTAAAAAAAAAACAACGGCACATGGGCTATTAATGTGCTCAAGAAGTCAAATATGTGAATTGACGAAATGGGCCAGTTCATTCGTACCAGAACACCCATTGTGCCATCCATGCATACATGTTCGACTGATATATTGTTGTGTATATTCTTCAATAGAATTTTGGTAAATTTTTAAACTATAATTTCTATATAGTTTTGTTTAACCTTTGGTAGGGCTATAAATTATAAGTAAACTTCCCCATAAATTTTAACAAATTCCAATATAAACCCTAGATATAATTTTGATCATAATCCTAATTAATTAATATAATTTTGGTAGCTTTTGATATATAATTTTGAAAACCACTTACAATATTTTAAGATCTTTATAATGTAAAAAATTATTTGGTGATGAATTACATATATTAATTAAATAATATTAACAAACTATATCATTCATGTGAAAAAAAACACGTCTAGAAGGTGTTGATTTAGTTGGTTCAATTAATTGGATAATAAGTGAATCATTACGAACCGTTAAAAATTTAAAAATAATAATCTTCATCAATAATTCATGGCTACATATAGGAATGACTAAAAAATCTAAAATCGACGGATTTTGACATAATTCAACTTTATATGGTAGAGTATTTTTGAAAATTAAATTCAAGATGCGTTATTTTAGGGAATAAATTGGGTTGGGATAAGATTGGATTTAGGGTATACTAGTATCGACCCATCTCAAGATAATTAACATAATATCCCTATATATAATATATGTTAGGGTTTTTGTTATTTTGTCTCTCGGTTTTCAATTCTCTCCCTTACGCCTCCTAATTCTTGTACAAATCCGATCCAAAAATATTGTCTTGGTCATACAAAATCTATCTTCCGCCCTCATCGCCTTCGTATGTATCTTTTATAACCTTCAAATCTAATCTCTCCCTTCGACTTCTACTATACTTTAATTCGACTTCTACTATTCTTTAATTTTAATTTTATACCTAAATTATAAAAATTATATATATAACCACATATTTGTCTTCTAAAATATGGAGGTGTCGCTTTACATCCTTTGGGAGCGATTATAGAAGACATTCGAAGTTTTAAAGCGCGGAATTGGACTCTCTCTTTTCAACATGTCTACCGGGAAGGTAATTTTTGTGCGGATATTCTTTCGAAAATGGGTTGCTCCTTGGATGAGGAACTTATTATTTGACTTCTCATCGGCTCAGATATCCTCCTTTTTGGATGCTGACCTTAGGGGAGTGAGGCTTCTCTCTAAGTTTGTTTTATCTTTTTTTCTTTGTAACAAAAAATATATATATTTGTCTTAATCTTAAAATTATATCGATTTATTTTAATTTTTACAAAAGGTGTATATCTACATTTTGCTTGATCTTATGAAACATGCATTTGTCTCTTCAATAAATTTGAATACTTATCGTCTCTTTTCCATTCCAGGCCACAATTATTAAAGTCCAGTAAGATTGGATCTTTGATTTTGAGTCGCAAGTAGGAGAGTAGATGACAACACAAGCTTCTATGGGACAAAAGGTGGTGAGTTGACTTATTATATATATATATATATATATAAATAATAGAAATTGCTTAGTTTGCATGTATTTGAATGTTAACTCTAACAGTGTGTATGCTTTATATGGTGATGTTAGTTGTTGGTGAAGAGGGAGTGTTTCCCCGCTTGTTCTTGTTGGATTTTAATAATTGTGGCTAAATGGAAAATATAACACTTATTCAAATTCAATGATGGGACAAATACATATTTGAAAAGATTTCAGGCATATATCTGTAAACTTTTAGTAAAATTTTTAAGGTGAATTGATATATAATTTAAGATTAAATCAAATATATTTTAGGAGAAAAACAAGCGTTTTAGGAGAACATAGATTAAATTGATAGAACTTTTAAATTTGAAGGGTTGATAGAATGTAGAAGTTTTGGACACTCAAATTGTTATTATACCAAGTATAATAATAGTTTTAGTCTCTAAAATTTATACATTCTATCAATTTACTCCCAATTCAAAATAATTCAATAAATTTAACTATTTAAATTTAAAAGTTCTATTAAATTAGTCTTTTTTTTCTTCTAAATTACTTATTTTTCTCATAAGATATGTTTGGTTTAATCTTAAATTTTATTAAAAAAATTCAGCTAAATTTGGCTTAAACTTACCAAATATGCATTTTTCTCCACTGACTTTGAATATTCGTGGTGTATTTTCAATTTCAAGCCACAACCATTAAATTTCTGCAAGAACAAGTGACGAAACCCTTCATCTCCACCAACCTCTAACACTACTATAAAAGCATACACACCGATGGATTTAACATTGAAATGCATGGAAACTAAGAAATTCCAATTCTCCATGGCTAGAAAAAGAGTGAAGCTTGCCTATATCATCGATGCTGCTGCAAGGAAAGCTGCCTACAGGAAAATAAAGAAGGGCCTGGCGAAGAAGCTGAGTGAACTCACCACTCTTTGTGGCACAGAAACTTGTGCAGTTATCTACTCTCCCACATGTGACTATCAACCGGAGGTCTGGCCTTCGGCTGCCGGAGCCCAACACCTTTTCTCCGAGTTCAAGGCGTTGCCTGATATAGAGCGAAGCAGTAGGATGGTGAACTCATAGAGTTTTTTGAAGCAAAGGTTAGCGAATGTCAATGAACAACTCAAGAGACAGAGTGAGGACAATCGCAGAAATGAGTTAACTCATGTTCAAAAACCTTGGTGGAAAGGGTTGGCAGAATGTGAAGGAGGAGGATTTGGACGAGCTGGGTGAGTTTATTCAGCAGAACTTGAAGGACAGAGACAATAGGCTTCATATACTTATCAACGGCTATGTCGTCGGGGGAAAATAGGAGTATTAGTTTCAATGTTTGTTTGTGCTATGTGAACCAATGGATTTTTACATTATATTTCACAGTTTGCTTTTGTTTCTCACAGTCAGCAACCTCTTGAATCTAATAAAGCTAAATAAACTCCATATAATTCGAGCATTATATTTAGTTTTTTCTTAAGCCATTTGTATTATTTATTTTTATATAATTTCGATGAATTTTAAGGTAATTATGTATTAAAATTAAAACCATCTAATGTAAATTGATATGACATTATTGAAAATAAATAAATAATTGGTAATGTAGATTGTAGTTCTTGGTACTTGATTTTGATATTTATGTATAAGTGATATTTAAATTTTAATATAATTTGGGTATTTAATTTTTTTAATGATACAATTATGTATTTTAATTTTTTATGTGCAAAAAAGTATTTTTTAATTAGGTATGTTTTATTATGATTGGTTCATACTTATAATTTTAACATTTGTTTAGTTAAAATGCTAATGTGTTACGGGTTAAAAGTATGATCACATGTAACTAAAAAGTATCAGATACCTATTTGCATTAAAAAATAAATGTAGGATACCTAATTATACGCAAAAAACTTAGTTATAAAAATATTGGATACTTGATTGCACAATGATTATGCCGGGTATTACATTGCACATAAATACTAAAATTAAGTACCAAAAGTTAAATTTATCCATATATTTATAAATATGGCAAGTGCAGCCATATATAAACATGCCTACAAATCCATTTAATTCCAGTTAAAATTTACAACTATGATTGGGTTAATATTACTAAATATGCCTCTTGCCTCATCACTGAGTTCAAATTACCTTATTTTTCCTTTCCTTTTCAAGTCGCCATTAATAAAGTCCAGCAAGAACTGGTGGGGAAAACCTTTCCTCCAATGTCAATAAATAAATTAAGCATGCACAATGTTGGGGTTATTAACATGCAATCATACACAAACTAAGCTTTCAATTCTCCATAACTAGAAGGAAGATAAAGATTGCTTATATTACCAATGCTGCTGCAAGGAAAGCTACCTGCAAGAAAAGAAAGAAGGGTCTAATGAAGAAGCTGAGTGAACTCACTACTCTTTGTGGGATTGAAGCTTGCGCTGTTCTCTACCCTCCACCTGGTTGTGTCTCTCAACCAGAGGCCTGGCCGTCTGCTGCCGTTGCACATCGGCTGCTCTCCGAGTACAAGAATTTGCCTGTCAGTAGGATGGTGAACCAACAGAGTTTCCTTCAGCAATGGTTGGCGAAAGCCAAGGAACGACTCGTAAAAAGGAGCTGACTCAACTCATGTTCCAAAACCTTGGTGGAAAGGAGTTCCAGAACGTGAAGGAGGAGGATTTGGACGAACTGCGGCTGTTGATTGAGCAGAACTTGAAGGATATAAACAATAGGGTTCATGCACTGATTAACGCCCATGTCCTTTGGGGAAAACAGGAGTATTAGTTTCGATGTTTTGCTTGTGTTGTGTCGAGCAGGGGGATTTTACCTTATATTTTATGTTTTAGTATGCTCTAGGATCACAGTTTGCTTTTGCTGCTTAGTGTCAGCCCCCCCTTGAATCTAATAAAACTAAATAAATTCCATATAATTCGAACATCATATATGGTTTTTACCTTCAAATACGTGTCACAAATTTCAGATTAGTAGCATCCAATGATTATTAGGTTGTTCACGCTGGCATATTTGCAGAAAAAGAAGACATTGGTGCTTGCTTTACAACAGTGGATGTTTGCTTATAATTAACTAAAACATTTAGATGCATGTCATTGGCAGCCAAATCACTGGAATCCATATTAATTACATGCCTTGTAAATTGGTATTAATGGATCATATATAAGCCTCTAACTTATGAGATGACTATCCAGCTCAGTTGGTAGAGCACAAGATTTTTAACCTTGAGGTCGTGGGATCGAGTCCCACGGAGGGCATTTCATAATTCGGAGGTCTTCTACGGAAGCTGCTCTTAACCTGATGTTGGGGGCAGCCTACTATCTTACCTCCCCTTACCCCATTACATATGGGAACAAGGGACAACCAACCATTTATATAAGCCTCTAACTTACTGATGTTCTTACACAAAAATAGATCAATCAACACTCTAGTAATCCAATTACATATGATAGGCTTTTATGGCTCATAATCTAACAGAAATAAACCTACCCAATAAACTCTAAAACGGCCCAATAAGTTATGGCTTGACTTAGTCGTAAACAACCCAATATTAATAATTTTTTTAACAATTCAAATAGCTAATAATCTTCTAACACTGGAACCAACAATTACTTCTTACCATTTGATTTTCTTTGTATGGATGTTGATATATACCCTTCCTATGGATTTTGATATATATCTATATACTTGTATATGTGTGTCTTGGAGAAGAAGATGTCCATGGTTATATCACCTAATGGTGCAGACCAGTTCACTGAATCTGACCATACACATATACATACACATACACATGCACATACACATACACATACACATACACATACACATACACATACACATACACATACACATACACATACACATACACATACACATACACATACACATACACTACACATACACATACACATACACATACACATACACATACACACCATACACATACACATACACATACATACACATACACATACACATACACATACACATACACATACACATACACATACACATACACATACACATACACATACACATACACATACACATACACATACACATACACATACACATACACATACACATACACATACACATACACATACACATACACATACACATACACATACACATACACATACACGGACACGTACACGTACACTTGTATGAACAGAATAAGAATTTGATCCCTATCTTGCAGTTTAATAATGATGAAGATGAACTGAGTAAAATTTCCAAGTTATACAACTCAATAACCCTTAGTCCATTGTCCACAGAATAACAAACCCAGATTCACAAATTTCTCTGCAATTATTAAACAAATCTACTCCTTGAAACTTGGCATTCCAGAAAAGCTGACTGTAATGAAATGATTAATATTAATCTTAAAATTTCCAAAAGACATTGTTTTTTTGTCTCATAGTTTGGTAAACTTCCCACTATCCCTAGCCAGTTTCCTACCTATATTCATTTGTCTCAGGGAGCACAGCTGTATACATACATGTATTGGAATAAGATCTTCAGATACATACTAATAATAAACTAAGATTATACATATATAAAAGGAAAAGATTTGCTTCTTCTGTGCCTAACTTAGCTGCAAGAGTGCCTCAATGGATAATTAATAATATGCAGGCATCCATTCAAAAGCATGGAAAGGCAAATAATATATGTACAAGACTGAGTTTAAGCTCTTTACTGGATTCTGATTCTAAAGTTTTGGAAACCTTACATAGTGGGAGCTTGACCTTTCAACTATATATGAATGAATCTTCCTGTTTTTACTGTGAAAATGCAGTGAAAGTTGAGATTTAAGGAAGTTTTTTTACTTTTATCTCCGATTGCATGCTTGGCTTTTTATGGTGTTTGAATCCACAACAACACATTAGCTTAAACCACCCTTTATTCAAATAATTTTTCATCAACATTATACGTCTACCATATACAAGCTAGGTCAGTTCAGAAAATAAAACTGATAGTTGATTTATTTAGTTATTATTTTGTCTTTAAATTGCTCCTTAGTGGTTAGTTTTTGTGGCTGATTCATTATTTTGATTTATTTTCTGTTCAGGGCACTAGATTCTAGAAATTATACTAAAATGGCATGATTATGTAGTTTTTTTTTTGGAATCAAGGTTAAATTGGTGGGCATGACTCTAGGCATGACACATCTGACGTGGCGTTGAGTCATCACCTTCCAGAAGGTCTAGTCAACGCTTCTAGAAGAACGAATTGGTATTCCGCATTTTTGAAATTCGAATTCAAGTTAATCTCTTGTTTTTTTGGATTTTAGTTTAAATATTTTTAAGAATTGTCTTTAGGAATTATCTCTTATTTTTAGGAATTATATTTTCTTTGTTTTTAGAATTTTTGAAGGCTATAAATATCCTCTCAGGGTAAATCTAAAACACATTCAGAATTCATTTTTCTTTTTTGCTTTGGGTTTTATAAAAATTTTCTTTTCTTTTTCAAAATTTTCTTTATTTTTATTTTTATTTTTAAAGATGCTAATTATAATTGTCATACTTAGTTATTTTATCCATAAGTCAAGGGCTAAAGCGATGACTTAATTCTTATTTTGATGATTGAAAAGTATTTAAAATACCTTCGGGTTATTTTCTTAATTTTCAGGAGAAATAAGATAATTAATTGACCTATCCTTTAAAATCAAAACACTTTTAAATCAAAAAGAGTTCGTTGGTTTGGATGTTGTTATGGTTTATAGTTGGGAGGAAGAATCGACTGATAGCAAGTTCGACTTCCTGTGAACACACTTAGCGGCGGTCCGTTAATGGGAATCGAGATTGTGCTCGATTCTCATTGAGACAACATAGTTCGAGTCGGGTTTTTCCAAAACTTTTAAAATTTAGTTGGTGTTGACGACGATAGTTTTAGTTAGTCCGCATAAGGATTGTAATTCAATGATAGCTTTTGGATTTTCGGTTTACAAGAGAGAAAAATAAGTTACAAAGATTGAGCCATGTAGACTGTAACCGACAGATATAGAATTGAGGCAAAGATGAAGTCTGAGGTTGTTTTTCTCAATTTATTTTAAATTTATTTATTTACTTTATCTTTATCCCCAATTATTTTTAAAACAATTTAATTCTCTTTTTTTCTCTCATCCCTATCTTATCTTCCTTTTATACAAATCTCTATCATTTTTTCAGTTTTATCCAGATTCAAAATCAAAAAGTCCACAACTTTAGAAACTCCAAAGTCCTAATGGACCGACATTGCTTCTCTTCACTACTTTTTCCTTTTATTTATT